CAATTCAGTCCCTCGGCCGCACAGTTCACGTCACGAGTCCTCAGTAGCTACAGAGCTGGTGGCCACCCTGCTGGATGTCAGATGTAGAATGTGACAGTCTAGGACAGAGGTCAAGCCCTGCAAGGCCACAGCCAGTGAAGAATAGAATCAAGGGAAGAAGCTCTTGTGCTGTTTTTATTCCTCGTTCTGTTTCTAAGCAAGCTCCAGGATGTTCTTTCTGTTCATCTGTCTAACAAGCATTGTTGAGGACCCACCATAGGAGTCGTATGCACTAGGGATATTTTGTTGTACAGAATGATCAATCCCCGCCTCAGGGGAATAGTCTTCCAGTGGAGGAAGACTAGCAAAAAATGTGCTGGGCACGGTGGCGCATGCCTGTAATCCCAGTGACTTGGGAGGCTGACGCAGGAGGATCTCAAGTTTGAGGTCAGCCTCAGCAGCTTAGGCCCTAAGCAATTGGTGACCGCCTGTCTCATATTGTAGCTCAGTGGCAAAGCATCCCTGTGTTCAATCCCCAGTACCACCCCCCACCAAAATACACACTTATACACACAACCTAAAAACATGAACTATACCATACTTGAGGAAGTGATGAGTGAGTATAATGGAAAATAAATTTTAAAATAATAAAACGGGGTAAGAGGAATTAGAAGTACCCAGGAAACAATAGGTTGCCTACAATTTTAAACAGGGTCTGGGTGACCCTGTCTAGGAAGGTGGCATCTGAGCAAAGACTTGCAGCCAGTGATGGAGTCAGCTGTGTGGACGTCTGGGGAGAGGGAGGATCTGGAGCCACAGTTTGAAGGACACAGTGTGCCGGGTGCATTTGAGGGAGAGCCAGGAGGCCACTGGGCTTGGCTGGAGTAGAGTGATGGGACGTGGGCAGAAGATGCGGTCACCCTGTGGGAAAGGTGGTGGTCCTGTGGCTTGGTAAGGGCTCTGTCTTTGCCTGGGAGACGGGAAGCCGCGAGGGTTTCCAGGGAACAGAGGGCACGGCTGGCTTGCTTCCTAATGGAGTTTTCTGGCCGCAGTCGGGGTAAGAGGTGGTGCTGGTGAGGGGAGAGGAGGCGGTTTGGGTGCTACCATCGTGATCCAGGAACAAGATGGCATTGGGACCAGTGGCAGTTGGGGCAATGAGAAAGGAGGCCAGATTCTGGATCTGTTGTATTTGAAAGAGCCAATCGAGTCGCTGATCCATGGAATGTGGGGAGTTAGAGAGGGATAAAGGACAACCCCGAGATTATTGGCTTGTGCAACTGTGGGGACGGAGGGCCACCAGCTCCAGGTAGAGCAGACTCGATGTGTGGAGCAGGGCAGAGAGGACTCAGAAGTTCAAGTTTTGCTAGTTTGATAAGCCCAGCAGCCACCTAAGTAGAGCTGTCACTGGGCAAATGAATGCGTGAATCTGGAGATTGGGGTAAGGACTGTGCTGGAGAGATTAGTGCTGGGTGCAGCCATCAGCATGGACATGGCACTTGAAGCCTTGAGAGTAGATGACGTTGCCAGAGGATGTGGACAGAGGAGCCCCCGCATTGAGCCCTGGGGTACTTCCAGCTCAGAAGTTGGGGTTAGAAGGAGGAGCCAGCAAAAGAAACGAGGGTGCAGGAGCATCCAGCCCCGGAAGGTAGGGAAGGAGTCTCCTTCTTCCCTCTGTTCTTCCTTCCGTCACCTTCTCTGTCCCGAAGCCAGAAACACGGCTGATGGGGAGCTGTGCCTCCTCACCTGCCGCTTCCCACCGCACACCTGGCAGCTGACGGTGCTCAGCAGGTGGATGAAGCCCTGCGTGCTGACCTCTGGGCTCCCTTGTTTCGAGAGTCTCGTCCATGAGTGAGAGTGGGGACATGTTGAGGGCCACAACCAAGTCAAGATGGCGCCTGGCACTTTGCCAGGAGGAGAGGTTTGTGAAGCAATGCCAGCGAGCCATTAAGATGATGAGGATTCCTTATTGGCTGACTGCTGTATCTAGATGATGTTAATTAAGTTAAGCTGTGTGTAATTAGTTAAGCATATAAACCTCTGCGGTCCGGCAGAGAAGCGGCTCCTGCTACCTTGGGTGCCCGCTACTTTGAGTTCTCAGTTCCTGCTGAGTTCACTCGCAATAAAGTAGTTCCTGCTTCAACCTTCAAGTTGCTTGTCACCTCTCGGTTATTTTGCCCAGCCGGACTACGGCAGGGACAGGAAGCCGTTAGGGGCTCACTTGTACTAGGTTAAAGTCTTAATCCTAATGCCAGTTGAACATCCTAAATCCCAAATCAGAAATAGTCCCAAATCCGAAACTTTCAGGTGCTTGTGTGATGGCCCAGGAGACACATGATTTATCACCTGACCTCCTGCGAAGTCGGTCAAAAGGGGCCACACTGAAAGTGTCGCAAGAAATCTCCTTCAGGCTATGTGCAAAGGTGGATGAAAACTTAAGTCAATTTCAGGTGTAGATCTGGGTCCAGCCCCAAGACATGTCCTCATGGGTCTGCAAATACCACACAACCTGAAAAAACCCCAATTCAAAACACTTTAGGTCCTGAGTGTTTCAGATAAGAGTAGAAAACCTGTACTGTATGTAGAGTGCGGCCTGCTTTGGAGATCTGGCCTTTAAAGAGGTAATTAAATCAATACGAGGTCACCAGGGTGGGCCACAGCCTAATATGACTGCCGCCCTTATCACAAGAGGAGATTGGGACGAGTTCACAGGGAGGACTGTGTGAAGACAGGGGAGAAGACCCTCTGCCCACCGAGGAGAGGGACCTTGGAAGAAGCCCATCCTGCTGACACCTTGACTCAGGCTTCCCGCCTACCGAGTCGCAGGAAAACCAATGTCTGTTTCTGAGGCCCCCAGGCTGTGGTGTTCACGGCAGCCCCAGGCCACGGAGACGCAGTGGAGAGGCGTCTGTGGTCTTGTCCTCCTCCTCCTCCTGGTTCATACAAGGGTAGCCTCAATGAGAATCAACGGCCAATGGAAAAGAGAAGTCGAGCCCTGGCTTTGCTTTTCACAGACGGTCCTTGCAACTCACGGGCGGGAGAATCTCTTTAAAGCTGAGCTGTGGCCTCCCGAGCTGGTTCTCTTAGAAGGCCAAGAAGGGCTGTCCCGCCCCTGCAGTGTGAATAAAGTCTGGGGAAGCGAGGAATGTCAGAGACAGAGCCTGGATTCTGGGGAGCTCCCACGGTTTGGGGCACCTGAGAGCAGAGGGGACTGGTGCAGCTTCCCCGGGGAGCTTGGGGTCTAGGTGGCAAATCTCCAGGAGCAGTGGCCCAGCACCAGCAGAAGAGCAGAGGTGGACCTGTGTTCCTATGGCACAGGGCAACTCCTCCAGTGTCCCCGTATGCCAGCGGGACACGCAGCAGGCCAGGAAAAGCAATATACCTTGACAGGCCTGGTCCTCTTCATGTGAGTCGCGATGTCAGCAGCAAGGGCTGGAACCCACACAGATGGTGCAACCAGGTGTGGGCAGCTCTGCCTGCGTTCTCACTACTCGGTGCCCTCAGCACGGAGGCCACCTCGGGGGAGTGGGGAGAGGAAAGCCCTGAGATGAGTGACAACATGCTGAAGCGACACAGCAGCAACTGTGGAAAGTAAGTTCAGTTACTAAAACGTGATTCCAGGGCTGTCTCTCGGTGGCAGAGCGGTCGCCTTGCACATGTGAGGCACTGGGTTCGATCCTCAGCACCACAGGAAGATACAAAAAAGCAAAATAAAGATATTGGAAACCACTAAAAACAAATCAAAAAAAAAAAAAAAAGTAATTCCATAGAGAATGGGGAGTTTTTTGGTTCCACTTTTGTGGCGTTGGGGACTGAACCCAGGGCCTTGCTTATGCCAGGCAAGTGCTCTTCCACTGAGCTCCTCTCCAGTCCTGGGAGTCAGCCACATTTGAGAACGTCTCACTGAGTTGCTGAGCACCTCGCCTCCCCATGGCTGCCGGCTTTGAACTTCCTGTCTCAGCCTCCTGAGCCACTAGGATCACAGGCATGGGCCGCCGCGCCTGGCTGGGAGTTATTACTTAACAGGTATGAGTTTCAGTTTTACAAGGTGAAAGAGTTCTGAACATAGATGGGGCGATGGTTGAACAACTCGTCGTATGTACTTAGTACCACTGAACCATGCACTCAAATGGTCAAGATGGTAAGCGTTGTTATGTGCATTTTATCAAAATTTTAAGAATTGGAGAAAACTACTTGGAGGTTTGCTCACCTGGGGTTGTGGCTTATACAATTGATACCTAGGACAACAGATAAGAACCAAAGGGGACCTAGGGTCCAGAGAGGCTGAGTTGAGGGAGAAATGGAATATGCTTTAGGAAGGGCCAGGAACACCAAGAGATGGAGGCGTGGATTCCACTGTGTGCCTGGTGCCATCTGGGCGCAGCCTTGAAACCAAGCACGAGCCTCCTGGTTACACGCACACGCACACACTCACACACACACCCGGCACTTTGCAGTCACATCTCCCAGCCCAAAGGAATTATCTGCTTCTCTTAGGCAAAGATTCTCACAAAGTTCAGGGAAGTTGATGTCATATATGATCATTTTATTTTCCAAGGCAAGGGGTTGTAGAATACACAACTGAATTCTTCTTGAAGCATTAGAAGCCAGTGGTAGTAAACACTTCTTACGTAAGTTCAGTGCAGGCCACGGGGCTATTTCTCTTCCTTTAGAAGTGCTGCTTTTATCATGGCTTAGGGAGCCATGCAAATTGCGAGAGTAATGGTTTTATGAAGAAACCACCAGGCCTTTGAGCTCTTGCCCCAAATCTACAGAAACCTTGAACTATCTTGGACAAGCATCCCTTTTAAAAGCTGACAGAAGAAAAGAATATCTATCCTACTACAAAGTTGTCTCAGCCCTCAGATGGCTACCCTGCCTGCCCTGGTGGTTCACGCGGTCTCCTGCATCGAGGGAGCAGGATAAGTGCTGGCTCTGCATGGATGGCTGTCCCAGTAGCCCACACCCCTCTGGAGCCCTGAGCATTATCTCCTCCTGCCTTTGCTGGTAGGGCTGGGGGCTCCTCACATCTTGGAGAGCTTGATGTCATAGGTCACCATGTTGAAGTTGTCCCAGGCAAAGAGCTTCCTCTCCAGAGGGTTGTAATCGATCATGCTGCTGTACTTGTAGCGGTTCTTGAATGGGATGGTCAGGGTCTTACTGACCCCTGTGCCCGTGTCATAAGCAAAGTTGACAGTGGCTTCGGCTGAGGAGTAGCTGCTGACCGTGTACAAGGTGCCGCAGATGATGAAGGCGTTGGCGACTGACTGCTTACGGATGTTGGTCTCCCAGGTCTGTTCAAGTTCCAGGTTCTCCGGGTTCAGTTTGGAGAGGACGATGGCTCCTTTGGCCTCCCCGGTGCTGTAGATGACCCACAGGCCCGTCTCATCCACAGCCAAGTCAATGTCTGTGTAGCCGCCCCACGAGTACGGGAACTGTCCGTGGTAGCCGGCCCCCGGGATGTCCTTCTCCGCCTTCACTGCCTCGGTGTTCAGCTCGTACCTGATCACGGTTCTGGACTTGGCCCCCTGGAAATAGAGGCTCCCCCCATACACCACGGCTCCGGTGCTCTCCAGCGCCCGGGGCAGCACATGCACCTTGGAGGGGTAACCCTGCACGAACTGGCTGATGAGGCTGTACTCAAAGACCTGGTGGATGTCTGTGCCCACCGTGTCGATCCTCCACGTGGTCTCCCGTGTGTACGGGAAGGCCGGCCTGGGGTCTCTCATCCACACTCCATACTTGCCGGTGATTGTTTCTGCGGTCCTCAGGGTGACAGGCTCTCCTACCCAAACCAGTTCTCCACAGCCTGATGGAGTTAAAAAAATAAAAAAAAAAAATTTAAAAAAGGCACCTCGTATTATCAGCTCTCCAAATACAGACAGTGACAGAGTGGAAGCAGCAGAGCAGGCAGAAGTAGGGGCCCCAGGACCAGCTGTCTGTCTGGGCTTAAATCTGGGTTTGGCTGCAGATAGGCCTGACTTTCAATAAGGTCCTCAGCTCTGCACACCTCAGCCTTCCCAGGCAACGGGGGACAGCAGTACTGTTTTGGGTAGCAGGGCTGTTCCAAGTTTGAGATGTGATTAGACATGTTAGGTGTAGGTATAGAGAACATGCACAGCAAACGTGTTTGTGGGTCTGTCGTGGGAAGGGATTCCTACTCCTCCCAGTCGTCAAGGGGGAGGCCTTAGACGGCTTCAACCACATCTGCAACACTCGAGCTTGGCAGGGACCCGGAGTGTTCATTAGATTACTTCCCATGACTTTCAAGTTATTTTAAAAGAGTGAAAATGAATTCCTTATAAGAATAGCTTCTAGTTAGGCCTGGTGGTGGACACCTGTAATTCCAGCTCTTCAGGAGGCCCAGGAAGGTCAGCCTTGGCAACTTGGCGAGACCTTGTCTCAATCAAAAATCAAGAGGGCTGGGGGTGACAAATAAATAAATTAAAATGAATAAATAAAAGAAGGCTGGAAGTGGAGCACATTCCCCACCTTATTAAGGCTCTTAGCAATTAGATATCTGAATATTAAAAAAAAATTTGCTGTGGACTTAGAGGTCTTCCTTGTCATATGCGAGTATCTTATAAGAAAAAACCTCAAACCTAGTTCAATCCCCAGCACTTTAAAAAAAAAATTGAAAATTTAGATTTAGCAGAATCAAAAGATTTCTGTGCTTTAGCGGGCACCTTCAATGTCGACACAGAAGGTAGGTACCGTTTACTGAATCATGCTTTGAATATTTCATTACCCCATCTCCATGGGTGCCCTTCAGTGCTCACAGTAATTGTAAGTGACACAGGCAAAGCTTCTAAAAATCATTCCTTTGGGGAACACTTTGAAGAGGGGCAATTGTGCTTTTCCTAGGTGGCCGAAGTTCAGCAGAAATACCTTTACTAACAGAAAGTGCTAGATGGGACAGGGCAGCTACCTGGCCCTCAGGTTAAGGGTGTGAAGGAGCTACTGAGGCTTGTGACTTCCCAGGTGCGGTTAATTCAATGCAATGACCAAGTGGGCTAAATAGGCCTTGCTCATCTTCCCCCGGTGCAGCCCAGCTGCCTTCCAGGGTGGGTGGCAGGAGATAGACTCTTCTGGGAAAGGCTGCCTCCCTGAGGACCTGCCCTGGCAAGAGGAAAGAGTGGGTTCTTGTCCTCAGTCCCTCCCTGTCTCTGCTCCCAGGGAGGTCACTCCTGATGGCATTTACTCTCCAAATCTGAACACAGAACTAGACATGACAGAGGCCACGTGGGCTCAGCAGGGAAGACACCCAACTCCATACCGTTATCGTCACTCCTGGGACGGCCAGAGGGACTCTCCAAGATCTGGGAAGCCGGAACCTTGGTTAACTCCGACTTCAGTTCCTGGAAGGCCAGAGTGTCCAAGTTCCACTGAGGAGCTGTATTAAGAGAGAGTCAGGCGGTACCATGAGAAGAAACGGGCCAGGGATCGACTGTGGAGGAGAGCATTTAGTTAGGCTCCCCAGATTCCTCGTTGGAGATCTGCTTTAAGATGTGGCGGGGGATCAGGCAGGGGAAGACTGTTGGGCGGGGCTCAGAGCTGCCCTGGGCTCATTCTTTTCTCCCCACTGTTGTGACTGTTTAAAAAAAAAAAAAACCCCACAATTAAAAAGCTTATCTAATTTCATAGCAATTAAATTACTTAGCAAACTGCCTAGCACAGAGTTGGATATTCAGAATAAAATAAGACTTTGCACTTTTGAAATACTTTCCACCAGAAGGGCAGGCTTATGAGTATATGAGGTGTGGTTTCAGGAATATTAAGGCTCTTAGCAATTAGATATCTGAATATCAAAACATTTTTTTTGCTCTGTGACTTAGGTTTTCCTTGTCATATACAAGCATCTTATAAGAAACCTTCAGATTTTTTCTTCTATTTTTTTGGGGGGTATGATGTGTGTGACTGGGGACTGAACCCAGGGGAGCCTTATCACTACCTCCCTATCCCTTTTTTTTCTTTTAAAACGGGTTCTTGCTAAGCTGCTGAGGCTGGCCTTGAACTTGTGCTCTATCTGCCCTGATAACAGGCATGTGCCACCACAACCAGCTTATCATTTTATTTTTAAAATACATTTTTATTTTTAATTGACACATGTATCACTGGGGTCCAGAGTGACATTTCAGTAGATCAGCTCATGGTAACTGGCACGTCTACCACTTAGACATGTATTATTTCTTTGTGTTGGGAACATTCAAAATCCTCTCTAGTGATTTTGAAATACGCAGTTGTTAGTAACATGTCAAGCTTCACACGCTCAGTTGAAATGTCTGTCTCTTTCTGAGGCCACACTGCATAAGGACGAGTGTGTGCAAGGTTCCTGTGAGAACTAGGGGAGGGTGTGAGAAGGGGAGAACATGGGTGACCCTGGTTAGACATTTGGTCATTGTCACCATGGGTCCTACCTTTGCTTAGGATTCAAAGCAATTCTTGACTCCAGGGATGAAGCAGTGGCCACAAGGAGCATTTAAAACAGGTGTGGCTGTTTTTTAAACTGTAGGTTTGATGATTCAAGTACAGTAAGGCCAACAGATCCCCGGGCAATTGTGTGCTGGGTTGTGGCCCGTAATCCCAGCTGCTTGGGAGGCTGAGGCAGGAGGAATCTCTCAGTAATAGAGCACCCCTGAGTTCAATCCCATTGCTACACACACACACACCCCACACAGTAATAATTCAAGGGCTGGGGATGTGGAGTGCTTGCCTAGCCTGTGAGTGGCCCTGAATTTCATCCCCAGGACTGGGGGGAAGGGGAGAGATAGCGAGAGGCAAACCATGGAAACAGTAAAAAGATAGTGGTTTCCAGGTCAGGGTGCAGGCAGGAATAAATAGACATTGCACGCCGGCTTCCGGGGAAACGGTACTCCTGTGCACGGTACCCTAATGGTGGATACGTTATTTTACGTTTGTCCAAAACCCATAGAAGTTACAACACCCAAAGCATAAGCTGTGGTCTTAGTAACTATGTGTCAGTGTGGGTTTGTCAACTTTATCCCTGAGGGGGGTCCGCAGGAAGGGGGGAAGCTATTCATGTGGGAAATATCTGTACCTTCCTCTCAATTTTGCTGTGAACCTAAAATAGCCCCCAAAAGTCGTCTTTTAAAAACAAAGATCTTGAAGTCTGTATTGCTGTAGGTCCTAGGAGAGGAGAAATGCCAACTTGCAGGGGGAGGGGGTGCACATGGGAAGCCTCTCCCACAGGAGGCTGCAGCGGTGGGGGACAGAGTGGTGCTTCAGACTTTCAGGGAAGTAGGACAAGGCTGGGGGATGGCCATCTGCAGCTAATGAGATTCAGTGTTGCCATCACTCATTAAGTGCTACTGTGAGCCAGTACATGCTAGGTGCTTGCTGTTTAATTCCTCTATTTCCTGTAACAGTCCTGAAAGCAAGCCAGGCCCAGGGGCTCCCGCCTGTAATCCCAGCCACTCAGGAGGCTGAGGCAGGAGCATGGCACGTCCCAGGCCCGTCTGGCAACTTAGACCTTGTCTCAAAGAGAAAAAAAAAAGGGTTGAGGGGAGCACAGGGTGTGCAGGGCTGTAGCTCAGAAGTAGAGTGCTCCTGGGCTCAATACCCATACGCAAAATAACAAAACCAAACAAAAACAGTTCTGAAAGTGAGCACTGTTATCTCCAAATGCAAATGAGGAAAGCAAGCTTCAAAGGGGTTAAGTAACTCAGGGTCACACAGCTAGTCACTGGTGGGGCTGGAATAAAACCAAAGCTGTGGCAGATGTGAGCCCTTGCACCCCCGTGGTGGGCGTGGCCAGTTGTGGATGTGAGCCTGTCCACCTGTGGTGGGCGTGGCCAGTTATAGATGTGAACCTGTCCACCTGTGGTGGGCGTGGCCAGTTGTGGATGTGAGCCCGTCCACCTGTGGTGGGCGTGGCCAGTTGTGGATGTGAACCCGTCCACCTGTGGTGGGCGTGGCCAGTTGTGGATGTGAACCTGTCCACCTGTGGTGGGCGCGGCCAGTTGTGGATGCCTGCTTCTCACAGTTGAACACTTGGCCTTTCACACCTGCCGTGGGAGAGTCAAGGTGCCCTTGTGTAAAGTGAGTGCACTATCAACCCATCTCAGTAGAGGACACCAGAGGGACACTGGGCTGTGGGGGGTTGTCCCTGTGTGCAGAATGCAAGGGAGCCCTGCCCCAGCTGCTCCTCTGTGACCTTGCAGCCTCGTCCTGGCCATGGACTTTCCACCGCCCTCCCACACGGAAGCCAGCACTCCCTCGGGACCGCAGTGCTCTGAAGGCCCTGCTGGCCCTGCTCCTCACTTCCTGGATGCCCAGGCCCCGGGAGGCGCTTGGTCCACCTGTGCCCTGCACTCAGGAAATTCTTGGCAGCCCCAGACCTGCTCAGGCCAACCAGCCCCCTGGTCTGCTCTCATGGGCTGAGCATACCTTGTCCAATGAGGTCTGGACCCCTCCCCAGTCCATCCTGCCATCCATCCCCTCCCTCGTCTGAGGAGCCACGTGGAGTTTACCTGTCTTACCGTGGCCCTGTCATCACAGTTAGTCTTCATGCTGAATGTCCCTGGCGGTACCTTCTGTGGGCTCTTACTCCTCACCAGGCCAGGCCGCTTGGCTCCTTGGGGAGTGACCCGGCTCTGGGGCTGAGCCCAGTGCCCTGTGGGCATCACAGTAAAGACACAGCTCTGGGGCTGCCCACAGCAGCACCCCACGGGCTCTTCTCCTGATCGCCAGGGAAGGGGCGGAGGTGCACTGGCTGGTGCTGAGTCCCACCCTGTCCAGCACTGCCCTGCAGGCTCCTGAGCCCTGCAGCCTGAGCTTCCCTGGCTCTTTCCTTGCTGTGCAGGAACCACGCCTCACAGTTCTCACTGGGGTAAACAAGAGCCACAGCAAAACATAATGTCAGGGAACGGCTCCCAGCATGACCGCAAGGCCGGTTCCCAGTTAGCAGATGGAGGGCTGGACTGGGAGCCGGCGGCTGCTCCTCGCTGTGTCAGCCAGGAGCATCTGGCAACATTCAGACCCCAGAGTAGAGCCATCTGGCATGAGGACCCAAGGCAGGAAGCTTTTGTGTGAAGGGGCCTGGGCTGAGCCAGAAGTTGTAGATTCCTAGTTCAGTCCTTCCAAGTCCCAGCTGTGTGACTTTGGGCAGACGGTTCAACTTCTCTGAGCCTCAGTATTTTGAACCTCACAATTGTATGAGGTTATTTTAAGGATTGCATAAGATACTATCAGTGAAATGCTCCTCAATAAAGATGTGTCAAAACTCAAATTTCCATGGAATATTTCAGTTGCTAACATTTCCTTCTGAATGCAAAGAAAAAACGGAGATTAGGAAAAGGTTAGCAACTGTGTTGTGTCAGAGTTAAAAGGTTTATGACTTAAAAAATCAAAACTCAGTCCTTCTGTGGTTTCAAGGTTGACGTCTATTAGAAAATTTTGGAAGTTCTCTGTCTATTCTGCCCTAATCTCCTCTGCTAAACTCGTTCTAGGAAGCTTGACCTAGAAACTAAGCTCATTAACTCATTTGCATAAGCATGCAAATGATATTGTGATAACTTTTATAAATATTTATTATCACTGCTTGAAAAGTTCAGTGTGTGTGTGTGTGTGTGTGTGTGTGTGTGTGTGTGTTTGCAGTTCTAGGGACTGAGATCAGGGGTGCTTTATCTCCACTGCATCTCCAGCCCCTTTTACTCTTTCACTTTGAGGCTGGGTCTCCCTAAGTGGCTGAGGCCAACTTTGCAAAGCTGGCCTGGACCTTGTGATCCTCCTGTGTCCACCTTCCAGGGAGCTGGGATTAAGGCGTGCACCAGCAGGCCTGGCCAGTCAGTCTTGTTAAATGAAGAGCCAGGCACGGTGGCGCCCACCTGTAATCCCAGCCACCAGGGCGGGTGAGGCAGGAGGACTGCAAGTTTGAGGCCAGCCTGGGCAACTTCAGAGACCCTGTCTCAAAATTACAAACAGAACAAAACACTGGGGTATAGTTCAGTGGTAGAGCACCCCAGGGACTGGGTTAAATCCCTAGCACCAGAAGAAAATACAAATAAATACACAAATATATTTATGAAATTTAAATGAGGAGAATGCGGAAAAAGAAGAGTGCCGACATATTTAGAGGTTGTCACAAATACTTTCGGAAAGTGGAGATCAGCTTGTAGACTCGTCCCAGTGAGCTCTGTCTCTAGGATGAAGGCGGGTTATAGGGATGCTGCGTGTATGTCGACGGTGACGGAACTCGAGCAGAAGAGGCCCATTGTAGTGGCAGTCCACTTATGGGGTGGCTCCTCTGTCGAGCCCTGGGCTGGGCGCTTACCCGTGTTACTTCCAGTCTTGGGGGTCATTGTCCCGATCCTATAGGCACTGGGAATCCTTGGCACTGGCTTGAACACGCCTGGTTCCCACGCCCCATCCTTTCCCAGCCGTGTGGAGGTGGCCCTTCTCTCTCAGGTGTCACCCGCCAGGACCTTGCCTCCCCACCCTGCCCAGCTTCTCTGACTGTGTGGGAGTCTGCTAGAACGCCTGGTGGCCCTCACCATAGCCTTATCAGAGTCACAGATGAACGGTCCCCACTTCTGTCACATTGGACAGGCCCCCTGTAGGTCCTGACTGGGACTGAGCTGCTGTTGTCCACTGTGGTGACTTTTGAGAGGCCCCTGCCATCTTGATTCCTTCCCTGAATTCTCTCCCTCTGCCCTGAAGTAAGCCCACAATAAACCACCTGCACTCAGCCGCCTCCAGGCTCCGGTCTGTGGGGGACCCGCCTAAAGCAAAGGCTAAGAGCTCAGGTTCACGATGATATTTCCCCTGCTTTGGGCTTCCATTCATAGTGCGGGCTTGTGTGCAGGTGTGTGCGTGTGTTGAAGTGTTTTCTGTCACATGTGTGCATGGATAAACAAGCGACTTCTGTGGCTCTAAGGAGAGCTAGACAGTGGCAGTAATGGTTAGGACTATGGGTGGCCTCAGTTTCCACATTCGCAAGAATGAGCCAGTGGCACTGGGGCCTTTCAAGTTCCACGTTCTTGCACAAATGAAATTTCCTGCTGAAAATGATCCACTACTAGAAAAGAGACTCCAGGTTTGGAGTTGATTCTAATGGGCCGTTGCCTGATTTCAAAAGCAGAGCAGTTGGAAGGCCCCAAAAAAAGAAATACAAAATCAGAGGACACAGCTAAGAAATTCCAAAGACCTGTTAAATGGCCACAGTCATTAAAAAAGACAAAACATTAACTGTATTTTCACTGCACACGCATGTGTGGGTTTGTGCTGAGAGGGTCATTCCAGGAGCGTCCTGAAATCAGTAATGCCCATGTTATGTCCAGTAGTAACTCCCTGTTGTCTTCCAGACTCAAGTTCAAGTCAGTGCTCCCTCTGCACTGACCAGCTGTGTGGCCTTGGACCCTTTAACCTCTCAAGAACTCTCTCCCTAGTGGTAAGATTCCGAGTGGGATCTCTTCCAATTCTAAGGATGCAGGGTTTTAAGCAATCCTCCACACCTTACAGTCATTTCAATTGAACTGTGCAGAAGCCATTTCTCACAGCAGGGCTCTCCCTTGCTGAATCGCAGATGCGGAATGCAGGAACAGAGAGAAATAAATAACTGACCCAGGCGTCGACTCGGGTTTCCTAGCCTCACCCCTCTGCAGAGCTTGCCTTTCCTGTAGAAAGCCTTTTTTTTAGAAAATATTTTTCCCATCAAGTTATTTTGAAAGATACTAAGAAAGTCCCTCCCACACCACCCCACCCCGGCCCCCGTGGACTCTGCACTTGGACCGGTCCGTTGTTCCCTGTCTGCCACATCTGTCGGGCCTCTTCCTCTTGTCCTCCAATTGTTGCTGAACCCTCTGACAGCAAAATGCCAACCTCCTGGCCCTGCACCCCAAGCCCTTGAGCAGGCTTCTCCTTGGAACAAGGGACTCTCCTCACATCTGTACCACCACTCTCTCTCCCAAGGACCCGAGTGTTCAGACAGTAGCATGTGCAGTCGGTGTTCGCATTTCCTCAAAGGTCCCACACGTCCCTTGTGACTTTCTCCCTGTCTGTCAAGAGCCAGGCAGGGCTCACACACTCCTGGAGCCTGCCCTTCCTCCAGGCCCTTTCTTTCTTCCTTGATGAAGGGTCCAGACTGTGTCCCACTGCACCGTTGCTCCCTTCCTCACCCAGAACATTTAGGAGCACAGCTTTTACAAGAAGTGATGCGATTACTGTCTTCCCTGCTAATGGGGAGAGTGTGCCTGTCCCCTGAAGTACACAGACCTGTCCCCAGGCAAATGTGGGCCAGGAGGGACAGAGAGCAGCTCAGTTAGAAAAGCCGCCTCGGGAACTTAATTAAAAGCAGAGGCTCTCAGAGGAGCCAAGAATAGGAAACCCTCCAAAACGACGATGGAGGGAACCCCAAGTGCTGCTGCAGCGAACCCCCTTAGTATCTCGTTAATGTGCTGCCTTCCCAGGGACAGAGGCCGTTCTGGCACCAAAGGGTGGGAATAATGGTCCCTGAGCAGGTTCAAAAAGAATACTTTTCCAAAAAGCGCAGTTGGGAGCCCCCCACTGATCACCTTCCACGCATCTCTCCCCTGATCCTGGTTTCTTGTTTTGCTTCGGGAGATGAAACCTCTGCGCTGGCTAGTCACCAGCTCAGAGCCACCAACCACACCAGCTTGCAGGAGCCAAATTGCTGGAAATATGTGAAAATACCTGCTTTGTCCTCTTAACCCCGCGTGGTGTGCTCAGTGTGTGGTCTCTGGGGGGCAGGAGGGGCAGGAAGAGAAGGCTCAGACACCTTTCACAGGTCCCCAGGAGCGTGTCACCTGGGGGACAGGCAGACCGCCACCTGCGTCCTTACCTTCCCTGGAGTCTGGCTGCACCTCCCGAGGGGTGGCTGGGGTCTGGGGACATCGGCCCCTTCTCAGGCTGGCCATTTCCTGGCTGCTGCGTTCCACCCTCCTGGCCAGGTCCTCATTCTCCTGCGCCAGCCGCCTCCTCTCGTCCTCCAGAGCCGACTTGTCTCGGAGGAGGTTGCTGTAGGCCACCTCCAGCTCCCTGGTTTGGGTCTCCAGCTGGTCTCGCTCCTTCCTCAGGGTGCCCAGCTCTCCCTGCAGCCCCTCCTGGGTCCCCTGGGGCCCAGCAGCCTGGCCCAGGGTCAGCTGGTTGAGGAGATTCTCCAGGGAGCTGAGCCGAGCTATGGTGGACTGCAGGTCGGCGCGCTGGGTGCTGCTGTCCCTCTGTAGGTCCTGGATGGCTGACATGGCCTGGCCCTGCTCGGGGCAGCTGGACTCACTGGGGCTGGCCACACTGAAGGTGTACTGGCATCGGCCGCTGCGATCGTTGGCCTTCCGGAGCTGGGCCGTCCTGGCCCCCGTTCCCCACGCCAGGCAGGCCAGAAGCAGCATGTGCGTAGCTGGCATGGTGGGCCTGCAGCTGCCGAGTGCACGGGGAACCTGCGTGCAGAGGCTGGGCGAGCCTTCCTCCAAAACTGGGCAGCTCTGTGAGGTGGCTGGATGGGTGGCCCTGCTGGCTCCTGCCTGAACTCAGACAGGCTTATATATCCTGGGGAGCCAGCCCTGCGTGGAGGGGGTAGAGAGGTGGCCACGTGAGGCCGGGTGGGGCCGGCACAGGGGGTTGTTTCCAACACGGCCAGCATGATTCTTAAAAAATAATCTTCCAGAAGTCTGTTTTGAATTTCTTTGAAAAAAAAATGTCCCAATCTACGCACCCTACATCCCAATAGTAATCCCCGTGAGTCTACACTATTATTTGGGTGTGAGGGCACACATTCACACTCATAGATGTCTGCCTCATCCAAAAGGAAGACTTGTGGGCTGATTTGAATAGGGACCTATTTCTAGTTTGAATTTCCATCCATTGCACAAACTGCTTTGTGCCAGGCTCTCTCTCTGCAAGGACCGAGATTACAGATGCCTATGGTAGTTCAGGCTCCGTATCGGGGACAGAGACAATTAACTGCCCACCAGAGCACAAGGACAGCACCCACTGGGTGTCAGGCATCTGTGAAAGCAGCTGAAAGAAGATTTCTTCCCTTGCTTCTAGTTTTTAAACTCTTCTTTGGGGGAGAGCATGCATGTGTGTGTGCATGTTCTTCATCATAAACTTTCTGATAAAAACCTATGGAACCTTCTCAGAAAATGTCTTATGTATAAGATGTATGAGATCACAAAGAAAACATGTGATATTGAATTATGATGAATGTCAAAATATCTAAAAATCTGAACTATACTTGTGGTTACTTCATTAAGATAGTAGTTTTGAATGTAGCAGTATTTCACAATTTCTCCAACAACTGTGATAGAGTATAAGACATCCATGGTTTTTCTTGGTAGGAACAAAATTACAACTATCATTAATTCAACTTTGGGTTTGTGGCTCTTTCCATGATGGAAAGAGATGTTAAATTCAGTTAGAAGGAACTGAAAATAAAAATGTAACTTACTTTCCCAGCCCAGAGTCATGGGCTTTGGGGGCTGAAGATCAATAACAGGTGTGGTGGGGCAGGCCGGGAGTCTCAGCTACTCGGGAGACAGAGGCACAAAGACTGAATCCAGGAGTTCAAGGCCAGCCTGGGCAACGTAGTAAGACCAGATCCCGAAAAAACAAAATCCAAAACACAAAGAGACCCCCTCCCCCGCAAAGATAAATGGAAAAAACTCCCCAATGTACCAAGAACTGTAGGAAGTTGTGCAAATCGGCATGGTGTGGTGCCTCGGGGGAGATGAGCAATCGTAGGGTGTCAGATACCAATGACACCCTCAGTGTTTGTGTAGTAGATGTCTAAGTGTCCTGGCAGACTCACCTTAAGACTGAAATCAGAGTTTGCTCTAAAGATCCTATTCTTTTTTTTTTTTTAAGAGAGAGAGAGAATTTTTTAATATTTATTTTTCAGTTTTTGGAGGACACAACATCTTTATTTTATTTGTATGTGGTGCTGAGGATTGAACCCAGCGCTCTGCGCATGCCAGGCGAGCGCGCTACCACTTGAGCCACATCCCCAGCCCTTCTATTCTTATTCAAGGGGTGCTAAAGTTAAACCTGAACTTGAGACATTTACAAGTGGTGTCCAGTCACCACTGAATCAAGGGCACGATTCTCAGTTCCTGAAGCAGGCAGTAAATATCCCTGAAATGATTTGTTTTTTTTCCCGGAAAAAACAGTGAGCAACAGTGAGGTTTGAATGTGTTTGGTTTCATTCTTAGGAAGCTTTTCTTTCTGTTGAAAGGATGAAGCTGGTTCCCGTGCTGCCAGCTCTGTGGAGGAGAAGGATTTCCTGGGAAGAGAAGTGTAAGTAGTCTCACTGCCTCCAGTTGATACCTGGTGGGGTCCTAGGGTTGCTGAAGGAAGAACGTGATTTAGAGATCAGGTGTCCTGACTGCCTTTCTGCTCCCTGTCATCCAGGTCCCCGCTCTGTAATGGCCGTGCCTTGGCAGGCAGCCCCACTGTGCTTTATAAATCTGTCTCTTCTCTTGTGCTTGGTCCCTCCTCATCTCCTCCAAGCTGTAGACCGGTCCTCAGCATCGAGGTCATCGTCCAGCTGTGTTGGTGCTGTTCAGAGCTTGGCCATCTCTGGCATTTCCACTTGCTCTGGCCCAGTTTTTGAGTACCAGGCTGAAGTGGCCCCGGTCACTCTCAACCTCTGTGGGTGGTTGGGGACAGAACGTGTAGTTGTCTGGTCTGTTGGGCATCCCTCGATCATGTGCCTCAGGGTGGGTCATCTCTGCCCCAGGACTGATGGGATCCCACCTTCTGCCTCCCCCCGAGGCCTGCTGTTGCTCAGCTGTGTAAGCTCTGCCTCCTGCCAGCCCTCAGCAGCCCAACGGGGGGAGATGTTCATAGAATATTGGACCCCAGCCCCTCACAGATAAGAAAACTGGGGCCTCCAGGGAGGACGAGGACTTGCCCAGGGTCACATGGCCAACGAATGGCAGAACCAGAAGGAAACCGGGTGTCCTAAGTGACAGGTTTCCCTCCTCCTTGCACAAGCCAAATCCGCCCATTGCCCGGAGGCCTGGCGATTCCAGTCATTTCTTCCATGACTCAGTGCCGGAGGAAGTGAGCTCGTGGCCTCTGTCCCCACCCAGCAAGGCCTTCAGTGAAGGAGGACTCACGCACACTCGAGTGTTTAACGGCTGATTTTATAAAAAGGCATCCTTTCATGAAATAGACTATTCTTCTCCAAGCAGAAAAATAGGCTCACTGGACAAAGCAGGAGACTCCCAGCTCCGTGGACAGCGGCCAACATCTGGTCAGCTTGAGCCTGCCCTTTTCACCTTCCTGCCTGTCAGCACTCCCTGCAGGCCAGCCTCTCCCACCCTGCCGTCCCCACCTCCTGGAATTCTGGACATGGAGACCCTTTTCCCTCTTAGGAAACATTGACCACCCCAGATTCCCATTCGGACTACGTTCCATCTCCATTTCCTTTCTGGAGCCTGGAGCCAGGGAGTCTCCAGCTCAGATGTGCCAGGAAGATGCTCACAGGGAGTCAGACCAGCTGCAGCCAGTGTGTTGTCTTTGGAACTGGTCTGCAGCCCGTTTGCCTGGCAGGGCGGAGGCAGCAGGGGTCGCTAGGGAGCAAGATCGTGAAGGTGCTTAGTGCATAACTGAACTGCCTTCCTCAGCCTGTCTTGGGGACACAGGCTTCTGCAAACACACACAGCCCCAAATGGAAGGATTCTCGGTGTGCCTTCACTTCACCGTGGAGCCCACAGCACCCTCTCCACCTGGCAAGGCACCCTGGGATTCCTTGCTGGTTTAGCAAATCATTCAAATTATCCACTGCTAACCACCCCTCTGGGGCCAGGGCTGCACACATACGCACATGTGTAAGACGCAGAACCAACTTTCGAGCTGTAACATCTGTAAGTCTATTCACACAGGTTAAGTGCCAGAGCAGGCCTCAGCAGGGTAACAATCATGGGCACAGGACAGGTGTCACAGGGGAGGTGGCACTTGTACTGGGGCCTACTGAGGTGATGCTGGGGCACTGGGGTTGTAGACGTGGTTAGAGGTCTGCCTGTCCTGGGTCCTTCACATTTACATTGTGTCTGGGATGGAGAATTCCAGGATCACTTTCAGATGAAACACACAGATGTCTCCTTCATTGCTACTTCCTGCCACCCCTGGACACCCTTTGGCCCAGAGCAGTAGGGAAGGGAGAGCCTCAAGCCAAAGGTCCTGTAGTCTCCTTCATCCAGGGCTTGAATGGGAGTTGGTCCTGGGCACTGGGCCTCCTCCTTGGATGAGCGACTTCCGAGGGTAGGTTCCCGTACATCGCAGCCACAAGCCCAGCAGCACAAGCCGGCCTGCCCCGACAGGAAGCCAACGGTACAGTGACAATGCTCTCAAGGGAACCCTGAAGGCTCCAAAGTCAGGTAGCATCTCATAAAAGTCATGATGACATGTCAGTAGTTTCAGGCCTATGGTTCCCCCACTCGTTCTGTGAACGTCTGAGCACAGTCTTGCTCTTCAGTCTGTTAAACTGATATTCCTTGAGCCACAGACAGGATGGAACCTGGCATGGGGGTGTGGGGGGGATATGGGAATATGAAAGAAACCACAGGAAGAAAAGTGAGACCTCGTTTAAGAAACCAAGATAGTAGCTCATTTTGGAAAAGAGCATCAGGCCAGTGTGGGAGGACCCTGGTGGATCAGTCTGCGAAAGAAGGGTGGAGAGGACCGTGGCTCCTTGTGACCTGGGGGAGCTAGGACACAGTATCATTATCCTCAGGACATTATGAAATTGTTACCTGTCGGGCCTGCCCTGATCATGTATCACATATTTATTTTATACTTAAAATGATTAAAATTAATTATCTTTCAAGAGTCTAAAGACTTTTTAGAAAAACCGAACATTTACAAAAGGTAAATGCCTGGGCTGCCTGCTGACGCGCCCTGTTGATTTGAATGGAAACGGTCTCTGGTTGCTGTCTAACCGAGCCTTCTGTCTTACTGTGTGTCCTTCCCTGAAAAACCCAACTTCAGGCCGGATGCAGTGGCCGAGGCAGGAGAATTGCAAGTTCAAAGCCAGCCTCAGCAGTTTGGTGAGGCCCTAAGCCACTCAGCAAGACCCTGACTCTAAATAAAAATATAAGAAAGGGCTGGGGATGTGGCTCAGTTAAGCACCCCTGGGTTTAATCCCTGGTACCAAATAAAACAAAACAAAAATCCCCAGACTTCCCACAGCCCTCGGTCTGCAGATGTGGACCTGCAGGTTATGATGTGCACAACCCCTCGGCGCCCCCGGCCCCGGCTCCTGCCTTTGGAGTCTCCTTTTGGTTTTGCGGCTGTTTTTCTGTTTTGCTGGCCTGGACTTCCTGAGCTCCCCGCCGTGATGCTGTCTGGTTTATAAACAATGATCCACCCTGGGATCCGTCCAACCGGGCGCCTCACGTGTTCC